TACTTTATGTTCCCCAGATGAATGCAATCTTTCTATGTCTATCCCTCTCCCTCTGACCCACCTCACTTAACATGATACTTTCCATGTAGTACCACTTGTATGTAAATTTCATAACTTCATCTTTTCTAACAGAAGCAAAATATTTGATGATATCTTTTATGTTGTTTTCTTCGGAAAAATTTTTATTTTGGTCTCAGCAGCTACCAAATTGAAAAATCAATGTCCTTAGTCACAAATTGTTACTTCACACCTACCTTCATTTCCCCAGACAAACCAAAATTAGAAAGCATGAAAGAAAGACACCATTTCTATTGAGGAATAGAGAAAAATGATCTCTTAGGGATAAATTCATTTGGTAAAACTAAAATGAAAGAAAAAATTGTTGTTAATCCCTGTTCATTCATAGAATGTGGAATATGAGAGTTGAAAAAACTATCTTGATCCTGGAATACACCAGAGCTATTTTCCAACCTCACAGATGAAATCAGGTTCTAAAGGGTTTGGGCATCTCTGTCTCTCTATCTCTGTCTCTGCTTCTCTCTCATTCTTTCTCTCTGTCTCTGTGTCTCTGTCTCTCTCTCCGTCTCTCTGTCTCTGTCTCTGTATATCTGTCTGTCTGTCTCTCTCTCTCTGTAGTAGGTTCTTCCATGTATTCCATTTTTTCTCAAGCTGCTGTTGGTCAAACTAAATCTTTGGACCGAGAGAGATAGAACAGCTGGCAGGGCATTTGCCTTCCATGCAGTCTACATGGGTTCAATCCCCAATACCTCACATTGTCCTTTGTGCACTGACAGGAATGATCTCTGAATGCTAATTCAGAAATAAGCCCTGAACACTACCAGATATGGCCCCCAGACAAAAAAAAAATCTAAATAGTGACTTTGAATGTGGTTAGATTAGATTGTTAATACTTAAAATCCTCTCAATCTGAGAAACTTTACTGGGAACTTAGTGTTTATAAAGATTCAAGTGTAAGGAAAAGTGAATTAACCTCTATGGAATGGTTTTTAAATACTATTGAGAACAGATTTATGGGGGCTTAAAAATAATGTCTTTAAAACTAATTCCTAGAAGCAGATCCCTTGATAAAATTTTCCTTTTTAGGAGTTGACTGGAATGCATGCTTTGCATGCAGGAGACATTTGTTTGGTTCTTGGCATCACACATCACATCTCTCCTAGGCATTTTCAGGAGAGATCCAGAGCACTGCCATGAGAATAATTCCTCAATACTGATGGGTATGCCACCAAGAAAAAAAAATTAACAGACCCAAATTAAGTTTTATTAGAATCATTGTTACTTGTTGGAAAGTGAGGGATTGGGGTAGCGAATATGTGATGTAGGACAAAATTCTACAGAGGTCACTTGGGCTCAGTCTTACAGAGCAACACTGGATGGTTGTGGTCAAAAGTGGGGAACGGGTGCTAGTCCTCCTGTTAGTTAACTTCACTGCTGTGGCCTGAGAAGGGGGCTCAGTTCTCGAGTCTACAGGCAACACCAGGAAGCTGAGAACAGCCTTCCTGAGAAGAGCCAAAACACTGTAGGAAAAGAACATTCAAGAGGACCAACAGAGCTTCGCCACTCTTTTGTATGTATCTTCCTGATAATGTTGGAAAATGCACAGGATGTAGCCTGTGGGTGCTCTTACTGTTCACTAGGTAGAATAATTGTTTAGCTTGGACCTTCCTTACCCTTTTTGATTTTATGCTAATGGGAGTTGTAGAAACAAAGATTTCAGCTACAGTAAGCAAGCCACAAATTCAGATATTTGCTTGGCAGGTTTCCTTTCTGTCCCTGAGGAAATATCAGTTTCCAGTAAGTAAGCAGACTTTAAAAAAATCTGATATTCCAAGTAGCAGTTGAAAAGAAAATAGCAAGCTAATACATATTCTAAGCTTTATGTCTGATGAACAAGCAAATATATTTAGCTGCTATTTATGTATTTTTAAAAATATTTATTTCTATATTTTTAAAAGAAGACACAGTAATTACATGCTCCATAGTTAAGAAATCCGCATACTTTCTTGGTCTGTGTCTCTTTAAGATATCTTTGTTGTATATTATAAAGTGTACATTTTAATACTTTACATACTGTGCAATAAGTTTGTTATGTTAAGAATAAGGTAAAAGGTAAATCTCCTCCCGTTGATCGTCGATTTGCTCGAGAAGGCCCAGTAACGTCTGCATTGGAGACTTTGTTGTTACTGTGTCTGGCATATCAAATAATCTCGGTAGCTTGCCGGGCTCTCTGAGAGGGGCGGAGGAATCGAACTCGGGTCGGCCATGTTGGCCGCTTGTAAGGCGAACGCCCTACCCGCTGTGCTATCGCTCCAGCCCGATAGCACAGCGGTAGGGCGTTTGCCTTGCATGCAGTCAACATGACCGACCCGAGTTCGATGTTAAGAATATGTTGTATTAGATATTAATTATCATTTAAATCACAGAAACCACTAGAAACCCAACTTTTTCAAAAATATGATATCAAAAAGAATATAGTATGATTTAATGATGAATTAGGAATTTCCTGAACTCACAGTTTTTGCAATATGCATTAATGTTATGTGTGGCATAACACTGGAAGGGCAATGAGGGCATAGGACAGCGGAGGTGAGTTTGGGGACACCGGAACATTTGGAGGGAAGCAGACACTGGTGGAGGTAGAGCCTTGGAATGTTTTATCCTTGAAACGCTACCATTATCAATATAGTAAATCATGGTGCCTGAAATTAATTTGTTTTTTAAACTGCAATTTTGTATGGAAAATTTTCAGTGAAATATTTGTTACATTCCTCTTTATTCACATGAGCAAACTAGAAAATAAAGGAATTGCAAAGCAATCAGCCTGCCACACTTGTAATTTCAGTAAATACTTCCTAAAGGAGTTGAACACTCTTTAAAGAAAATCATTGACTGTATAATCCCTTCAAACACCATTGTTGCTGATTAATTTTCCTTAGATTCTATATGCCATGACTAGCTCCTTGCAGAGGAATTGTCCTGGAAAAGCTGTGCCTTCTTCCTACTGTTTGTTTTCCTTTGTCTGTGGTTGGTTGACACAGTGTGAAACTGTTGTGTTGAATGAGATACTTTGGAGAGAATTTTTATTAACTTTCATTATTGCATGTTGTTGTAATTGTTCTATTTTATTGTTGCTATTTTCTTACTGTGTCTGATCATATAAATGTATACAGGAAAAAAATCAGTGCATAGGGTTTGGTACTAGCCTTGGTTTTAGGCGTTTCTAAGGGTCTTGTCCTTCTATCTCACAAGAATAAGAGCTTAAAAAGCAAGAATAAGGTGTGATTAGTCTGAGTGGAGGTGGAATAGAGGAGTTCATCTGACACTGTAAGATATATTTTGTAGGACAACAAAGAGGCCAGTTAATTTAGAGTAAATAATTTATTTAGGGCACAGATGGCAAATGCCTTGTAGGCATGCCTTGAATGTCCCCTGTCCCTCCACAGGGACATACATAGCCAATCGATGAGGTCACACCTTCTGCCTGAGCCTTTACCCAAAGCTGGAACCCTCTTTCCCAGCCCTAACAAACCAGTCCGACCTGGCATAGGCACATAAGGTGAAACTTGCTTGTCACCCTGGAGGCAGAGAGCTAACACCTAGATTGAAGTGAAGCAGGAAAGGGCTATAAAGTTCCAAAGAAGACAAGCTAATTCAGAAAACGTATTTTAGGTAGACCTGTGAAACAATAGCAATAGATACTGATCTCTGTGCTCTTTTGTGTTCTCACCATGGTTCTAAATGAGCCTCTTTATTAGTTTTTAGAAAAGCAATTTAATTTCCTGAGTTTCCTTTTATGGCTCACCCCAGGAGCCTTGAGTCAGTGCAACAAGTTCAGGGTTAAATGTGGTAAGATTTTTAAAATGTTTTTCATGATATTGAAATAGAAGAAGTTCACTTTTATTTTTGAAGGATTCAGAGATCTGGACTTCAGGCTGCTGATTTGATCACTGAATATTTTAGTTTCTAGGGAAGGAGGAAAGTTTTCACCAGGAGAATAATTATTTTATTTTATTTTATTTTATTTGGGGGGTGATACACAGTAATGCTCAGGGATTATTCCTGACTACACACTCAGAAATTGCTATTGGTGCTCGGGGGACCATCTGGGGTGCTGGCCACCCCACTTGCATATGAGTGCAAGGCAAATGCCCTACCTGCTGTACTGTGACTCCAGTGTGAATTATCATTTTATAGCATACTGAAACATTGTTTGACTTCACATCCTGGGATCCCACTGTATTCTGGTTTTATCATTTATTTGCTGAATCACCTTAAGCAAGTTGCTTAACATCCCAAGACCTAGAATCTTTAAGATGATAGCTTGCCGGGCTCTCCGAGAGGGGCAGAGGAATCGAACTCGGGTTGGCCAGGTCAGCTGCATGCAAGGCAAACGCCCTACCCTCTGTGCTATCTCTCCAGCCCTGAAACCTACGTATAAACAAATAATCTATTCCTCTCTATCATAGAGAAAACCTAGTTCTGTGTAACAGGACTGATGCTGGCGTGGCTCACCATTAACTGCATCAAAGGAAGCTGGATCATGGATTTTGAGGGCAACAAGCGCCGATGTCCATGACCTGTGAACACTTGGAGACATGAATGTCAAATGTTAGAAGTCTTGAACTGTTGTCAGATTTTCCAGAGAACTGAAAATTAAAGAATTCCCTAGGAGCATACTAGAGCTATTAGTACATGTTGCTCAATAGCTTGTATATTTTTTCCCTTGGCCTTTCATCCTGGAATGTTTTCTGACCCACCTCTTACTGAGAAAGCATCCTCTATAACTTATACTCCTACCTGTGTCATTATTATTCCTAAACATTCAATATTGCTTTTTATGGGGGAAGCCTTAAGAATATCTGTGGGAAGCAAGATTGTACTTTGGAAAAGGATTATCTTTACTAAAATTACTTTTAATTACAAATATGCATCATGTGGTACCGCCATCTGACACACCATCTCTGCTTTGTTCTCCCCAGCACTGGCTTGACCCTAACAAGTCCATCTCCAAGCAAATGAAATGTAAGTGTTCACCTGGGACCATGGGGGGAGTATTAAATATCCAAAGATATATTGTGTTTCTTTTTATTTTTTTTTTTGGAAAGTAGAAAAGTTTATTGGAAAGTAGGAGAGAAAAGAAACAGCTCCCCAAATTGTGAAGACTTAGTGTTGGACTAAGTTCATATTGTGTTTCTTGACTCTGTCTATGGCCAGGGGAGAAATGGAAGGAACTGAAGCTTTGTGGGTGAATGAAAGCTTCTGGTTCCCCATGAAAGCTATGACTTCTACCTCTTTTCCCTTCTTTCTCCCTGCAGTTCCTCTTCCTTTAGCCTTTGGTGTCGCACCTCTGCCCTCTTTAAACAGGGCACTTTGTTGGGCACTGGCTTCTCTGCTGACAGTAACCATCACATGACTGGTTCCTCCTGATTATGGGTCATCTGGTAAATGGTTTGGGGTGGGAGGAATGGCCTTAGGGTGTATGAGAGTATCAGGTATACTTGAAAGTAAGATACTGGAATTTTAATCTAAATTGTACTATTTAGTTCCACCCCTTTCACTCCCTAAAACAAATATTTTAAATAGACAATTATTTGTTCATGTTGGTATTCTAAACGCTCCCTATGCTCCATATTAAACTGCTAAACTTTTGTAGACAGTGGCTAGAATATCTGGTAATTTATTTGGGGAATTGTCTGGAGGGTATTTACTGGATAGTGTGATTTTTTTTTCCCTAGATGGTAGTCAGCCTGCCTCTGAGTATGGGTTGGAAGCGAGCTTCCAAAATGCACTTTGGAAATTTGCTACCTTCCCTGTAATTCATTTATTCTTTCATATAAGCTTTCTCAGGGATCTGAAATGCAGGTGGTACATCTATTTTTTACCAGAGCTGAGGTGCAGACGTACTATGTTGCCGGTCTTCTTTCAAGGGGCCATTTTCTTTTTCAGATGTGAAGTAATGAGTCTAGGCAGGGTTTGCTAAGTGGGAGAAGGCTAAATCTGGACATGGATGGCAAATAAGCAGCCAGCACTTCTATTCATCAGCGTTTTTTTACTTTACTTCCAGGTTCCTTCTGTCTCTTCCCCCTCCTTCCTTATTTGGACCTCACCTTGTCCCCCTTCCAGTTCCACTCTTTCTTTTTTTTTTTTAATTTTTATTAGTGAGATATCATGAGGTACAGTTGCAGACTTACACATTTTTTGTGCTTGGGTTTCAATTATACAATGATCAAATACCCATCCCTCCACCAGTGCCCATTTCCCACCACCACGGATCCCAGTATCCTTCCCAACACCCATCCCCCATCCCATCCTGCCTCAGTGGCAGGGCATTCCCTTTTGTTCTCTCTCTCTTATTTGGTGTTGTGGTTTGCAAAAGAGGCAATGGGTGACAATCATGTTTGGTCTATAGTCTACTTTCAGCATGCTTCTCCCATTCTGGGAGGATTCTCCCAACACCTTTATTTGGTGTTCCTTTCTCTATCTCTACTACAAAGCAGTCATAATTAACACAGCATGGTACTGGAACAAAAGCAGAGTTGTAGACCAATGGAACATGGTTGAATATACTGGCATCTCCCCCCAAGCATACAAGCATCTAATCTTCGATAAGGGGGCAAGAAAAGTGAAGTGGAGCAGGGAAAGCCTCTTTAACAAATATGCTGGCAAAACTGGACGGCTACATGCAAAAAAGTGGGCTCAGATCTCTGCCTAATGCCGTGTGCAAAAGTAAGATCAAAGTGAATTAAAGACCTCAACATCAGACCGGAATCCATAAGGTACATTGAGGAAAAAGTTGGCAAAACCCTCCATGACATAGATGCAGTTCCACTCTTTCAAGGCAAACTTTTGTGAAAGGAGGAAAGGTGGCTGTTCTGGGACAGGAAAGCATCCATGGCTGCTGTGGAGGATGCATAGGGCTCCTGGGGGTGTTTTTCTGAGAGAGGACGGGAGAGGTGTGTGCCTGGAAACCAAGCATACGTGCATGTGAGGATTCCAGAGGAACCACACTGTTGGCAGGGACTCCAGAAAAGACTCTGGACAACCACTCAATAAAAAAATAGAAGGCTCTGGAGAGTGTGATCTGCAGGGTAATGAGAAGGAACATTCTATTTATCCCTTTATATTAAATTTGTTCCTTTATATTAAATTTTGGGTGTTATTATGCATTTTATAATATTTTGATAACTTTTCAATAAGCTTGTTTATATGAAACGGTTCTTTGATATTTGATCTTAAATACCACAAAGATCAAAATGCCTCTTTTTCTTAGGCCATGCACATTTTTGAAATTTAGGTGTATCTCTAAAGTTAAAGGTATTACATTATTTAAAGGAAAAGATATTTAAATTTTGAATAACTTGTGACTTATAAGCCAAAAGTTAAATACAGCGTAATACTGTCTTAGGAGATCTTAATTTTCATGTAGGAATGTTATAATACAACATGAAAGTGATTCTTCTCATTCTCAAACCTGTAAATTTGGGGTGGTTGTTATGGTTGTTTGGGTCACACCTTGTAGTACTCAGGGCTTACTCCTGGCTCCGTGCTCAAGAATCACTCTTGGAGATGCTTGGGAACCATATGTGGTGCCAGGGATTAAGCCAAGGTTGGTTGTGTGCAAGGGATATACCTTTGCCCCTCTATTATCTCTCCAGCTCACAGATAAAGCTTTTAACTTTGTCATTATAATTGTAGAATATAGTCCAATGTGTATACATAGCATGGCATACATCAAGAGGACAAAAAATGCATATCTACAGGGTCCCTGTAACCACATGTATTATATTAGTCTGAAAAGGTTAAAAAATTGCACAGAACATTTTAGATGTAATCTCTCACTATTGTTTTGATTTGCATTTCCCTAATTATGAATAACAGTGAGCACTTTCTTAAATGCTCATTGATAATCTTTATGTTTTCTTTGGGGACATTTCTGTTCATCTCCTTGTCCCATTTCTGGATGGGGGTCACTGATTTTTTTTCAGAGTTTGGTGAGTGCTTTATAAATCTTGAATACCAACCCTTGATCAGAATTATTGTGTGCAAAATTTTTCTTGCATTCAGTAGGGTGTATTTTTATTAGTTTTAGTTTTTTTCACTGTGCAGAAGCACGTCTCACACCTGTGAGAATAGCACGTGTTGAAACATCTGGAAATAGCACGTGATGGTGGCTTTGTTGGATATGAACCTTCATATTCTATTGGTGGGAGTGTCATCTTTTATGAGAAGTAGTATGGATATTTCTCTAAAAAAATAGGAATACAACTCCTACATGGCCTGATGATACTGCCTCTTCACATCTATCACCCCCCAAAAAAAACATTAATTTGAAAGAATATGTGCATAGCTATGTTCATTGCTGCACTTAGTACAATAGCTGAGATATAGAAACAATTCAAATGCTCAACTAGAGATGAACATATATGTATATATAATAAATAATATGAAGTACTAGGAATAAAGTCATGCAGTTTGCAGAAACAAGAATGAAAGTAGAGGATATCATGCTGAGTGAAGTCAGAAGAAGAGAAACAGAAACAAAATGGTCTTTCTCTTACATGTAAGACTACAACAAATCATGGTCCACTGGCAACATAATGGGAGAACTTATCCATACAATTTAATTGTGGTGAGAGGGGGGTGAGATAAGAGGGAGGGGTTGAGGTGTTTCAGGGAAGGGAGATGGGTGCATTGGTGATGCATGTGGTATTAGAATTATTTTGATGAGAAACCATTACAAACCATAGAAAGCATTGCAAACCATAGAACTCAATTTAAAGATTTTTAAAAGAATTGTAGTGTTATTTACTTAAGTCTGAATTCGAATCTTTTTACTTCAGGGTAACTCAGAATCTTCCAGTTTAGACTTTGACCTTTTTCTATGAAATTATTCAATTTATTAATTAATGATAGCCACTTAAAAGTGGTATTCCACATCTTTATTCCTGTATTCCAAATCCACCTATATTTTATCTACTTCTTCCTTCCTTCTTTTTTCCCTTCACTTCCTTCCTTCTTTCATTCCTTCCTTCCCTCCTCACAGGGTACATTCTCTAAATATTTGTTAAATAGATAACTATAAAATTATAACTAAATTAAAACATAAGTAAAATGATGGGTAGTGCATTTGCTGTAATATAACATGTGATGATATGCAGATATATGAAGTGTGTTTTGACAAACTCAAGGAAACAGTTTATAGAAAAATGTATTAAGACAGAAAAGAAATAAGAACCAATGTCCAACATATTTACAAACAGATGTTCAGTACAGTTAGTAACAACAAAATGCAAATTAAAACAAAATATTTTATTTATTTTACTGAGAAAATCATAGTATTTATAATATCCAGTTGAGGTTCAGGGTAACACTTCTCATGAGAGTATATAAACAGTTGTAATATTTATAATATCCAGTTGAGGTTAAGGGTAACACTTCTCATGAGAGTATATAAACAGTTAAAGGTAGTTTAGCAGGAACTTTAATTTTGTTTAAGATTTACAATACTTCTGTAGGAGAAGGTGGGGACAAGATAGAGTTGAAAGAGCAAGTTGAGAGCACTCCCTGGTCCTTTTAACAAAAGTGCAGAGAAAAGAAGAACTGAAAACAATATTTCATGGTACCTCACTGAGAAGATCACTTGTCACTTGTCATCCTATTGATTATTGATTTGCTTGAGTGGGCGCCAGTGACAACTCCATTCATCCCTGTCATGTGCTAGCATAGCCCAGGGCAGAATCTCCTGCCCACCGCACCAGGCTTTCTTCACCGTGGCACCTCAGAGGGGGATGGGTTGAGTTTCTCTCCTCTCCCCAAGCAGAATCCCGGCAGCCTAAAACCTCCAGAACCCAGCCACATACATGTTCAAGGCCACTCTCCACACGCTCCAATGAGCCTCATGCTTCATGCATGAAAAAACCCAGGTATTCAGGACCCGTGGCTGAGATCTCCAAGACTTCTCGCAGTCACACCCACAAACTGCCCCCCTCCCCGCGTGCCATGTAATCGCATCAATCAATGGC